TGAGCTTACAGTTTTCAAAACCTCATGTTTATTGATGCTTTGTTATTCAATAAATAACTTGTATAAAATACAGTAACATCAATTTGTAGTCAGTGATGTCAAAAGATTATGTACATTTACATAAACAATATTTACAGAAAGTTGATTTTCACAGGAGTCAAGGATAGGAACTCTATATGAAGTACCTTTAGCTGATAAACATGATTTGAATGAGAACGTATTTCCCTAAAGGAAGAAAATCAGAAATACAATTGATTAAAAACTTGCTAAAGGAAACTAATGTATAACTATGTTATATGAATGTGAAAAGTCACATTTAGTTTATAACTAAAGTATTGCAATACAAGTCTTTGCTTGTAAGAGAACCAATGCAATAGTTAACTTTCTCTGTCCAATTTATTTCACTTAGACTATGTGAGTTCAAAATATACAGTGATATTTACTGCTTATTTTTTCTATTATTCATCCTTTATTTCTTTGATCAAAGGTGTCCAAGCAATATAGATGCGCAAAACTTAACGGCTATCTCTGAATTCCATCTCATGAAACTCTCAGAGAATCCAGACCTGCAGCCCATCCTCTTTGGACTGTTCTTGTCCATATACCTGGTCACAGTGCTTGGAAACCTGCTCATCATCCTGGCCATCAGCTCTGCCTCCAACCTCCACACCCCCATGTACTTCTTTATCTCAAACTTGTCCTTGGCTGACATCTGTTTCATCTCCATCACAGTCCCAAAGATGATCTTGGACATTCAAACTCACAGTACAGTCATCTCTTGTGTAGGCTGCCTGACACAGATGTCTCTGCTTATTATTTTTGGAAGTATGGATGACATGCTTCTGACTGTGATGGCCTATGACAGGTTTGTGGCCATCTGTCATCCGCTGAATTACCCAGTCATTATGAACCCTCATCTTTGTGTCTTCTTAGTTTTTGCATCTTTTTTGTTTAGCCTCCTGGATTTACAATTGCATGATTTGATTGTCTTGCAGTTTATGTATGTGAACAGTGTTGAAATTTCCAACTTCTTCTGTGAACCTGCTCAAATCCTTAATCTGATTTGTACTGATATTTTCACCAAAAATATAGTCAGATATTTTGTTGGTGCCATATTTGGTTTTATTCCCATCTCACTAATATTATTGTCCTATTATAGAATAATTTCCTCCATTCGTAGAATCCCATCATCAGGTGGTAAGTACAAAGCCTTTTCAACCTGTGGGTCCCACCTGTCAGTTGTTTGTTTATTTTATGGAACAAGTGTCGGGATGTATCTTGGTTCAGCTATAGTGTATTCCCCCAGAAAGAATGCAATGTCCTCTGCCATGTACATGATTGTGACTCCTATGTTGAATCCCTTCATCTACAGTTTGAGGAACAGAGAGATAAAAAGTAGCCTGAAAAGGCTCTATAGCAGAGAAATCTAATATCAGATCCTGAGCCAAGCAGGGAAAACATTAGCTGGAAAAGGCATCCACATTAAACATCCAGTCCTTTGAATTCTGTCTCCTGAAATCATTAGTTTTGTACTCTGATGATTTTAACTCTTCAGCATGTTTCACAGAAGAATGGTGGCTGTGATGGCTGTGAGGTTAATAAAACATGGTATGATTAAAATGAGCACAAAATTTCAGTTTTTTTCAATATATCTTCAGTTTTATGTGAGGAAAATTTCTTATTGTGTTTACCTTTTCTTATATTTCTATTGTGCATTTCTGCCATTTGGATGACAGTAATTAATATGAGTTTTCTTCACGTGGCTGAAGCAGAATTTCAGTTCATGTTAACAAGATTGTCTGATTACAAAAGTTTCCAAAAGATTCCAAAAGAATTAAGAAATATATGTTTGTGTACCTTCTCCCTAAGATTAATGTAAAATTTGTGGGCTGTAAAATTGCACTAATAAAATAAAATATAAAAACCAATAAATGAAATTACAAAGAAATTTATAGGGTTGGGATGTATTCATTGTCTAGGGTTCAATCCTCAGCAATAAATAAATAAAGCAAGAAATAATGCAAGAATTTAAGTAATTCTACTTAAGTGCCTTAACTGCATATTTGTGATCTAAAAGCACTTAAAAGTTTGAGATGATATATGCTATATGTTAACCATTCTTCATACTCTAATTGATTAATCATTTTCAAGGTTCATTCTCATATGAATAGATTCAACTAGTGAACATTACAAAAAGATAATTCAATTTTCCTGATCATTTCTTGAATATATTATTGACATGGACCAAAACATGGTACTTAGCTCTGAAGCTTTTACCCTTTTAATTTTCAGTGACAGCTGTTTTAGGAATATTTTTGTTAAATGGGAAGTGTGTGAACATGGGAAGAACACATTAAGGGCAACATTCTTACTGTTATTTATTCCAAATTCAGTGCCATTCCACTAAATTAGTTTGATTTCAAGTGTATTTTAACTTTGGATGCCTCACACACAATTACATTTTTATTTTTACACAATGAGACTTAATAGATCAGAACTGGAAGTGAATATCATTCACCTGTATATCCAACCATAGCACATCTCTATCTGCGTGCAACTGAGTAAATTATTCTCTTGAAAGAAATATCAAACACAGTTCTCAATCCATACATCCAATATATGTTTGTTTTTACTTCCCTGTAGCCCTTGAATTTCTACACAGATGTCTAAGAAGTACCAAGAGAAGAAACCTATGGGCTTTTATTTAACATTATGACAAGTACTCAAAATGCAAAGCTACCTCTAACAGCAACAATAAGATAAATTCATAGAAAACATGATGGGATTGAAATAATAAATGAATAAAAAAGAAAAAGTAGACATATCT